CACTTAGCATCCTTGCTCGCTACGTTGCGCCTGGGAGACACAGGCGAGAGCACTGGGAGGCTGCTAAGAGGGTGCTGCGTTACTTGTGCAGTACATCAGGCATGGGGTTGGTGCTTGGAGGACACGACAGAGTTGTCCTCACTGGTCACTCGGACGCTTCTTGGGTGGACGACCTGGCTACGCAGCGGTCGTCACAGGGTTACACCTTCAGCCTTGGCTCTGGTTCTGTCTCGTGGCGGTCCACCCGCTCTTCTTCTGTTCTCGGCTCTAGTTGTGAGGCTGAGATCTACGCCACAGCCATGGCTGCACAGGAGTTACGCTGGCTCACCTATCTGCTGACTGACTTGGGAGAGCGGCCTAGTTCTCCTCCAGTTCTGTACGGTGACAACAAGGCAGCTCTTGCCTTGTGTCAGGAGCACAGACTGGAGCACAGGACGAAGCACATTGCTCTTCGCTACTTTCTTGCTCGAGAGCTTCAGCAGCGCGGTCAGCTTCGGCTTGTGTACGTGGACTCGAAGGCCAACACTGCTGATATCTTCACCAAGGCACTCCCGCCTAGTGATCATCAGCGACACTGTACTTCTTTAGGCCTTGTGTCCACATTCCCTCATTTGCTTACTGCTTGACTTTCTTTGTACTGTACTTTATATATATCTTGTTGCTTGCTTGCTAGATTTTGATCACTGTGTTGTTTGTCTTGTACTATATCTAGCACTGCATGTGAACTGGCCTTGTGGCCTTTGCTTGTGCTCGGAGTGTGGTGACGTTGTGATCCACCCTGGGCTTGCGTTGCCTTGCTGGACTGGTCTTGTGACCCTTTGTTCTCCCCCACTTTGCCTATGGGGGTGTGTTAAATTGTAATGTGTTATATGTTGGTAGGCTGTAGTGGGGTAGCCAATATGGGGTACAACCCCAACTAGGGTTTGCTACTTGTACCCAACTGTTTCATTCAATGCATTCATTCTTGCCTAGTTCTTCTAACACCAGCGTCCCACCAGGTAGCTGCGTCTATTCAGGTTGCGGCTTCTTGCTCATGTCGGTCACTTGCCTACCCCACCGTTCTGTGGCACCACCGTCTTGGTCACATGTCCCTTCCTCGCTTTCGCACTATGTCTAGTCAGCATCTTGTCATAAGCCTCCAACGAGTCTTGCCGTCGAGACTCTCCACTTGGACTTTTGGGGCCCCGCCTCTCGCCCTGGTCCTGAGCGTGAGAGTGGTGGTCATTGACGACTACTCTCGCTACACCACCAATTTCCCTTTGGTGAAGAAGCCCGACGTGACTTCTACGCTGATCCGGTGGTTGCTCACCACAGAGGGTACTCATCACCATCGTATCAGTTGTCTTCACTCCGACCGTGGGGGTGAGTTTCGCTCCGGCGTTCTCGCCAGATTCTGTCGCGAACAGGGCATCCTCCAGTCCTGGACGCTTCCAGAGTCCCCACAGCAGAATGGGGTTGCTGAGTGCCGCATAGGCTTGGTCATGGAGATTGCACGCACCTCCATGATCCATGCCCATGCGCCCCATTTTCTATGGCCCTACACGGTTCGGTACGCCGCTCACCAGCTGAACCTCTGGCCACGTGTCTCTCGGCCAGAGGTTTCACCGACCAGTCTTTGGACCGGGTCCCCTGGTGTTGCGTCGCGTTTTCGCATCTGGGGCTGCTTGGCGCTTGTTTGCGACACCTCCGCGGATAAGCTCTCCCCTCACGCCCTTCCCTGTGTCTACCTTGGTTTCCTTGAGGACTCCTCCAACTACACCTTCTACCACCCTCCCCTTCATCGGTTCCTTGACTTTCATGACGTCCGTTTCGACGAGTCAGTCCCCTACTACACCCTGTACCCCTGACGAGGTCTCTCGATTCCTCCTCCCTCTCTCTTCCTGACTCCCACTCCCCCTCCTGCCCCTCCGGTACAGCCTCCCCCCCCCAGGTCCAGCCCCGTCAGGTGTGTCACATGCTCCCCCCCCCCCCTCGGTCGCCCCTCAGGTCCCGTCCCCTTCTCCGCAATCCTCCTCCCAGTTACCGCAGCAGCCATCAGCACTTCCTCCACAGGCTGCTGCAGACCTTGAGGGTGCTGGTGTCCGTAGCGCGGACCCTGGAGGTGCTATCTCTGGAAGTGTTGAAGTTGGAGCTGAGAGTGTGCCTGCACGAGGTCTTGGTGCTGGGGGTGCTGGAGATTGGAGCTGAGCCCGTGTTTGTAGGAGGTTCTAGTCTTCGGCATTGTTCTCATGTCAACAGGCAATTACAACATGCTCATCGAGCTAGAAACCATAAGTGCTAGCACATGTCATCATACTACTTATCAGTCATTGTAGTAGCCGTGAGTCACAATACTTGCTATCAATTATTGCCAAGCTATCCATCTACTCGTTCAAGCGGCGACACTAGTGTCCGTGGTGGGGCGGGGGGGGGAGAGTTGCAAGAGCCGTTTGAAAAACGAGAGATGTGGGTGGAGGAAAATGAGCTCCAACCCACGATTTGTAATTTGAGAATGGCGTTTAGCGCGCTTCGACGATGCCAAAATCTGCGTTACAGGCAGCTGCGCTTTCGAAATACGTAATTTTGAAAAACACTTCATGTGTTTAAAATTTATCACATTTCGCATTAAATATTAAGTTTCCCACATCCATCATTATACTTCATCTATGCATAACACCGGCATATGCATTACAAGATAAACAGTATACGTAGGTTCAGACAAGGCAAACTAGGAAATGAGAAGGAACATGGTACAGCATGTGCTAAGTTGCCATCGAAGCATATAGCAGTCAGTCACTTAGTTACCGTTCACTAGATTTTCTTCATTTTTTTTTTCTACGTACGGAGGATGAAAAAAGAATGAACAAAACGATTGTAATAGGTTCTTTCGCAACCCCAAAGAAATTTGTACATAACGATTGTCATAGGTTGCTTCGCAACCCAAAAAAACTGGCCATATCGATCGTAATAGGTTGCCTCGCAACCAGAAATAAATAAAATAAAGTTTTGTGGAGTGGGATGTCAGAAACAAAAATGATGATGGTATTATTGTGAGTTGGGGTACTTATGCCTAACCCTAACAACTGTATCTACATGACATGCATCACTACAGGCTAGAATATTTGACACACCCCCATAGCCTAAGTGAGGGGTGTCATGCGACAACCAACCGTACGGTCACAAGACCAGTCACAAAGAGACAAAGCTCAGGGTGGATCACAACGTCACCACACAGTCCGAGCACAAACAAGAGGCCACAAGGCCAGTCAAAGAGTTTACAGAGGTATATGTAAAGAGTACAAACAAAGCAAGCAGACAACACAAGTCTATGCAAGACGAGAACCTGTGTCAACGAGACCTAACTGCACACAAAACCAGTGGTGGTCACAAGGCAGAAGGGCCTTGGTGAAGATGTCTGCAGTGTTGGCCTCGGAGCCCACGAAGGCCAAACGAGCCCGTCCACGCCTCTGCAACTCTCGAAGAAGAAAGTACCTGACGTTGATGTGCTTCACTCTGCTCTCCAATTGAGGAGAATCATCGCCTTGTTGTGTGTGAACAAGGTCGGTGCAGAGCTCGGCCGCTCACAAGGTCAGTGAGCAAGAAGGTCAACCAACGCAGGTCCTGTACAGCCATTGCTCCAGCATAAATCTCGGCCTCAGCAGTAGAGGTCGAGACAGAGGAGGAACGAGTAGACTTTCACGACACAGCTCCAGAGCCTAGACTGAAACAGTACCCCTGCATGGACCTGTGAGTCTCGACGTTGTCGCCGTAAGAAGAGTCATAGTGGCCAGTGAGCACGACAGGCAGTCTACCTCCAAGCACCAGCCCCATGCCTGATGTCGTCTCTAGGTAATTTGCCACCCTCACAGCAACTGTCTAGTGAACAGGATGGTGTCTCACTGGCGCAACAATGCGGGCAAGGATGCTGAGAGGAAAGGCGAGGTCTGGGCGAGTACAAGTCATCAAATACATGAGGCAGCCCAGAAGCTCTGGGTAACGACCATTAGGCTCAAACGGCTTGTCAGGGAAGGGTCCAGTGAGTCTGTGGTCAACAGCAAGAGGAGTAGGCTGTGCAGTGGAGAACTGAAACCCAAACCGCTGAAGGACCTCTTGCACCTTGTGTGACTGAGTCAGAGTGATGGTGCGAGCGGCTCTGTCCCTGGTGATCTGCAGGCCAAGGTAGTGGCGCAACTCACCAAGGTCAGTGCATGTATGTCTCCTCTGCAGTTTGGACTTCACGTCTACCAAAGCAACCGTGTCAGCAATGGCGAAGACCAGGTCATCGACGTAGACTAGTACAAAGAAAGGTGTGGAGCCACGACGAACAAACACCGAGGGGTCAGCCGAAGACGGCTGGAAACCGAGGTCAGACAGGGTAGAGCAAAGAGTGTCGTGCCACCCACGAGGCGCCTGACGGAGACCGTATTCCGGACGTCTGAGCCTCCACTTGGTCCTAGGAGGGAAAGTGCCAGTGAAGGCAGAGGGATGACGCAACCAGCAAGACCTCCACGTGTAGGCTACCCCGAAGGAAGGCAGTGGAGAAGTCGAGAGAGTGTAACTCGTAGTCTCTCTGTGCTGCTACGTGAAACAATACTCGAAGAGTGGTCATCTTCGGGGTGGGCGCGAAGGTCTGGAAGAAGTCAACTCCCTCACGCTGACTGAAACCTCTAGCCATCGACTACGTTCGCCCCCGGAGGGGGAACCTCGTCGACGTAGGTGCCTGTGGATCTGTAGGAGGCCATCTCTGCGTCCATGGCAGCTCTCCACTGAGAGGCCCAAGGCCCTGACACTGCCTCAGCGTAAGTGCGAGAGACGGTATGTCAAGGGCGTCGGGGTCTTCCACAACGGCGAGCAGCATGGCACAGAGATGAGGGGAAGCGGTTGCTAGGAACTCCAGCTCAAACTGCCTGTCCTCTAGGGCGTCACAACCAAGGGCAGACTCACCCCCGACGGCCAGAGGACTGGTAGGAGGAGCAGTCACGAGACGAGTTGCGTATTCAAGGCGGCGAGTAGCGGCGAACTCAGTCACTGCGGCAGAAAGGGCGGAGACAGAGGAAAGGGAGGCACGAGGGTCCGTAACAAGAGAGGCGAGAACACGAGAGAGAACAGGACGGTTTGTGTGCTAATAGTCAATGACAGGAGTAGAGAGGGAAGCAGTGAGGGCCGAATCAAGAGAAGGAAGCACAGACGGAGACGAACGGGGTGAACTAGGATGGAACAGGACAGTGCGAAGGTCATTGATAGGGACAAGGGACGAGGGACGACCATGAGGAGAGCAAGGAGGCCAGGAGTGAGAAAGAGGAGGGGACAATAGAGGCTAAGAATAGGGGAAAACAGCTGGGGTGGGGTCAGGAGGAGGAAACGTGGGACCGTAGACAGGAGGAGAGGGGGAGGAGGGAGGAGAATGGGAGGGGAGACCAAGGGCCCGCAGACCATAGATAGGAGGCGTAGGCGGCCACAGTTGCTGCTGCTGCTCGTGCTGCTCGTGCTGCTCGTGCTGCTGCTGCTGCTGCTGCTGCTGCTGCTGCTGCTGCTGCGGATGTTGCTGCTCCTGTGGCCGCAGCTGCGCCTGTTATTCCCGCTGCTCCTGCTGTGGCGGCTGCTGCTGTTCCCGCTGCTCCCACTGCGGCGGCTGTTGCTCTTGCTGCTGCTACTGCTGCTGCTGCTGCTGCTGCTGCTGCTGCTGCTGCTGCTGCTGCTGCTGCTGCTGCTGCTGCTGCTGCTGCTGCTGCTGCTGCTGCTGCTGCTGCTGCTGCTGCTGCTGCTGCTGCTGCTGCTGCTGCTGCTGCTGCTGCTGCTGCTGCTGCTGCTGCTGCTGCTGCTACTGCTGCTGCTCCTCCAGCTGCTGTAGCTCCAACTGTTGTCGCTCCAACGCTAGCCTCTCTCGCTTCAACTCCAGCTGCTCCTCACGTGCACGGCAAGGAAGGGCCTGGTGCCGGGTCGGGTAGGGGTGGGGAGGAGGAGTAGTGTCCGGGGCGGTGGTAGCCCCAAGACCGCTCTCCAAAGCACCAGTCGCACCACCCCCAGAGCCAGCACCACCAGCAGCAACGCGGCCAGTCCCCGGCTCTCCAGGGCGCACCCGCAACCCTAGTCGTAGCACCCCCAGTGACAGCTCGAATAACACCAGCTCCTCAAAGACTAGAACCTCCTACAGACACGGGCGCAGCTCCAATCTCCAGCACCCCCAGCACCAGAACCTCGTACAAGCACACACTCAGCTCCAAATCCAACACCTCCATAGGTAGCACTTCCAGGGTCTGCGCTACGGACACCAGCACCCTCAGGGTCTGCAGCAACCTGTTGAGGAAGTGCTGACGGCTGCTGTGGTGACTGGGAGGAGGACTGCGGAGAAGGGGATGGGACCTGAGGGGCGACCGAGGGGGGGGGGTGGGGGGTAGGGGGGGGTAGCGTGTGACACACCTGACGGGGCTGGACCAGGGGGGGGAGGCTGTACCGGAGGGGCAGGAGGGGGAGTGGGAGTCAAGAAGAGAGAGGGAGGAGGAACCGGGAGACCTCGACAGGGGTACCGGGTGTAGTAGGGGAGTGACTCATCAAAACGGACGTTACGAGAGTCAAGGAACCGGTGAAGGGGAGGGTGGTAAAAGGTGAAGTCAAAAAAGTCCTTAAGGCAACTAAGGAAGACATAGGGAAGGGCGCGAGGGGAGAGCTTGTCCGCAAAGGTGTCGCGAACAAGCGCCAAGCAGCCCCAGACACAAAAATGCGACGCAACACCAGGGGACCCGGTCCAAAGATTAGTCGGTGAAACCCCTGGCCGGGAGACACGTGGCCAGAGGTTCAGCTGGTGAGCGGCGTACCGAACCATGTAGGGCCACAGAAAATGGGGCGCACGGGCGTGGATCATGGAGGTGCGTGCAATCTCCATGACCAAGCCTATGCGGCGCTCAGCAACCCCATTTTATTCAACTGTGGGGACTCTAGAAGCGTCCAGGACTGGAGGATGCCCTGCTTGCGACATAATCCGGCGAGAACGCCAGAGCAAAACTCACCCCCATGGTCAGAGTGAACACAACTAACACGATGGTGACGAGGACCCTCTGTGGTGAGCAACCACCAGATCAGCGTAGAAGTCACGTCGGACTTCTTCGCCAAAGGGAAAACTGTGGTGTAGCGAGAGTAGTCATCAAAACTCTCTCGCCAAGGACCACAAAAAAGAAACCCTCTCGCCCAGGTTCAGGGCGAGAGGCGGGGCCCTAGACGTCCAAGTAAAGAGTCTCGAAGGGCTCGGTGTCTGGACGAAGGGAAGAGGAGTGACGGGTGGCGCGCAGCCGACCCTCGACACAAGGGCCGCAAGGCGGTGCAGGTGAAGGCGGCAGCGACAGCAAGACTAGCGGGAGGCCTAAGACAAGACGCTGACTAGACATAGTGCGAAGGCGAGGAATGGACGGTGACCAAGACGGTGGTGCCACAGAACGGTGGGGTGGGCAAGCGACTGACACGAGCAAGAGGCAGCAACCTGACTAGACGTAGCTACCTGGTGGGACTTTAGGACCTGACGTGGGGCAGTGACAGGGGTCGGAGGCAGCAGCAGCTGCTGCCTCTCTCGAGAGCCAGTGTGAAGCATGCAGGGACCAGATCCCGGCTCCCGGTGAAAGGTGGCTAGGGGGGTGTAAGTGTCACCGTCCACACAGGCCGCAGGGTCCCCAGAAGGCTCAAACCAAGCACCAACGTGCTGACTCACGAGCGGCTCCACACCCACCAAGTTCCTAGAAAACGAGGGGACGTGGGGGCTCGTCAGTGAACCCGAGGGAACATAGTAGAGCGGTGAGCAATGGCTGTTCCTGAAGTGGGATCAGCCAGTGCTATAGAAACTGGCGCAGGAAGCGGAGTAAAAGTCGTGTGGTCGCAGAAGAAACACTGCGAAGCTCCGGAGCCAAGGGTGAAAGACAGCGAAGCGTCCGCCGGTGTAGCACCTGGACGAGTACCTAAGCAATTACCAACACTAGCAATTGGCACAGGATCAACACTAGCACCTAAGCTAAAAACACGCGAGCAAACGGTCAAAAGCACTAGAGTCAACAACAGCATACATAGCATGAATTGCACTTCCTAAGAGTTCAAGTAACTGAGAAGCAGACATGTCCCACAGCGTGGGACCGTGCGAGAGAACAAAAAGAAGCCAGTCAAGGGCAAGGCCGTCTGCGCCGTAGGCCGCGCGAAGTTTGTCAGTGAGCCAAGCAAAGCGCTGATCCGGTGGGTGACGGTGGTCGCAGCGAAGGCCACTGCGAGTACCTGTCTGGATGAGATAGGGGCAGGGTGGGTGAGCATCACCACGCGACAGCTGACGCGGTCCTGACCCGTGCCCCTGACACTGCTGCTACCCGTGCTGCTACTGTGGCTGCTGCTGCTGCTGCTGTGGCTGTTGCTGCTGCTGCTGCTGCTGCTGCTGCTGCTGCTGCTGCTGCTGCTGCTGCTGCTGCTGCTGCTGCTGCTGCTGCTGCTGCTGCTGCTGCTGCTGCTGCTGCTGCTGCTGCTGCTGCTGCTGCTGCTGCTGCTACTGATGATGATGCTGCTGCTGCTGCTGCTGCTGCTGCTGCTGCTGCTGCTGCTGCTGCTGCTGCTGCTGCTGCTGCTGAGCCAGGTACCAGGCCGCCACCCGATCACCTGCAGCTGGCAGCCCTGCAGGTGCCCGACGAACCCGAGCGTCACCTGTCAAACATTATATGTGTTGTGTTTGTGTAGGCTGTAGTGGGTTAGCCTATAGGGGGGTCACAACTCTAGGGTTTCATATTTGTACTCTCATTCCTTTCTAGTTCACCATTCCAGTCCGTTATTACTGACATGGTTTCAGAGCAGGTCCGTCGCTAGGACTGTTCTTAGGGCCCACCTACCTACCTACCTACCTACTGTGCGCCTCGTGCGCCTGCGCGTCCTAGAGCGCTCCTTACCTACCTACCACGCGCACGCAGCTCGCTAGCCGCCCGCGCGTGGCTTTCCTTTTTTTTTACCGCGCGCGCCGCACTAGCCGCTCGCGCGCGGCCGTTTTCACGCGTGCGCCCCGCCAGCTGCCCGCGCGCGCTTTATTTTCTTCGCGCGCGGCCCGTCACGCTGCCTCCCCGCTGCCCGCGCGCCTTTGCGCTGCTGCCCGTGCGCCTCGTAGCCTCGCGCACTGCCCGCCGCTGCCCTGTGCGCCACGCTGACGCACCCGCTGCTGCAGCCGCCCGTCGCCTGCTCGCGCACGCCCCGCAGGCCCGCAGCCCGCCGTCGCAGAGGCCGCCCGTCCGCAGCCGCCCGTCGCCTGCTCGCGCACGCCCCGCAGCCGCCCGTCGCCTGCTCGCGCACGCCCCGCAGCCGCCCGTCGCCTGCTCGCGCACGCCCCGCAGGCCCGCAGCCCGCCGTCGCAGAGGCCGCCCGTCCGCAGCCGCCCGTCGCCTGCTCGCGCACGCCCCGCAGCCGCCCGTCGCCTGCTCGCGCACGCCCCGCAGCCGCCCGTCGCCTGCTCGCGCACGCCCCGCAGGCCCGCAGCCCGCCGTCGCAGAGGCCGCCCGTCCGCAGCCGCCCGTCGCCTGCTCGCGCACGCCCCGCAGCCGCCCGTCGCCTGCTCGCGCACGCCCCGCAGCCGCCCGTCGCCTGCTCGCGCACGCCCCGCTGCCCGCAGCCGCCCGTGCGCCGCTGCCACTGCCGCACGTGCGCATACGCAGCTGCCGCCCGTGCGCTGCTTCCGCTGCTGCTTGCGCACCGCCGCCTCCTGCCGTCGCCGCACATGCACTGCTGCCGCCCGTGCGCCGCCGCTGCCCGTGCGCCGCCGCTGCCCCTACGCTACCTACCGCGCACACTGCTGCCACTGCAGCTGCCACCAGTGCGCCGTTGCAGCTCCTGCTGCCACGCTCCCTACTCCTGCCGCTCGTGTGCCACTACGGACAGTCGACCCCGCCCGCGCCTTACCTAGCGGCCCCGCCGGTCCCGTTGACCCTACGCACACCTTTCCAGCGGCCTAGTTCCTCCTCCTACTACTGTCACTATGGCTAGTCCTCCCGTTCTAGCTTTCGATGCCGAGGGCCGTCCGGTGAAGTTCGAAACCTGGCTAGATGACCTGCACCTGTTCCTACAGCTCACTGCCAAGGAAGACATCTCGCTGTACGACCACGCCCTAGGCCATGCTACTGCCCCTGACACGTCTGCTGACAGCACTCTACGCTCTCAGTGGCAGACTCGTGATGCGCACGCTCGCTTTGCTATTCGCAACTCCCTGCCGCTAGACGAGCGCGAGCACTTCGGCCAGTGCAAGACTGCTAAGGACCTCTACACCGCTGTAGTTGCCCGCTACTCCTCACCCGCTTCTGCTACGCTAGGCCGCCTCACTCTCCCCTACCTGTTCCCCGACCTAGCCTCCTTTCACACTGTCGCAGACCTCATCACCCACCTTAAGACTAGTGAGGCCCGCTTTCGCGCTGCTATGCCTGCCGAGTTTCTCACTAGCAACCCCCCCCCGCTCTGGATCACTCTCTACCACATCGTCACCCGCCTCCCTGACTCTCTGCGTGCAGTCAGGGACCACTTCCTCTCTCGCTCCCCCACTGAGCTCACTGTTGCCCTCCTCGAGAAGGAACTGCTTGCAGCTGAGGCGAGCATCGTCGCTGTAGGCACCTCTCGTGGCGACCCCCGCACCCCGTTCTTTGAGGGGTGTTCCCCTTCCCCCCTCCTCCCCTCTGTCGCCTCTGCTGCTGCTGTCGACCTCCTTGGTGCTGAGAAGGTCGGGACCGCGTCTGCTTCGAGCGGGCGCCGCAGGAGCAAGGGAGGCAGGGGTGGGGGTGGTGGCGGAGGAGGTGGGGGTGGAGGCGGTGGGAGTGGAGGTGCGACTGGGGAGGCTAGTGGCGGCAGTGGGGGAGGAGACAGCAGCGGCGGGAGCGGTGGCAGGGGTGGAGGCGGCAGCGGAGGTGGAGGTGGTCGTGGCGGCGGCAGGGGTGGAGGTGGCCGAGGCGGTGGTGGTGGCGGTGGTGGTCGTGGAGGCACTGGCGGAGGCCCGAGTCAGCAGCCCGCCCCGACGCTTCAGGCCGCCCGTGAGTGGTATGCGCAGCGTGGCTTTACCTGCACGTACGTCATTCGCACAGGTGACCGCAGCGGCCAGCAGTGTGGGAGGCCGCACCCCACGCACCGCTGCTTCGCGCGCCTTAACGACGCGTGGCGCACCCAGTTTCCTGATGCCGCTGAGCTGCCGCGCTGGGCTGATCTGGAAAAGAGGGGTATTGATATTTGGGCTCTAGACTTTGATGCTATTCTCACTGCCATGTATACCATGTCTATTAGTGGAGAGGGTGCTCAGTACTTGCGTGTTCCGCCCGACCCGGGCATTCAGGCCAGTCCGGCTGCCGCTCTAGGTGCTAGTGCGTCTGCTCCCACAGGTCCTGGTGAGGCTGCTGCCCTAGGTGCTAGTGCGTCCGTGCCCCCTGGTACTGAGTTGACTGCAGCACTGCACACCTTCACACTGGACTCAGGTGCCTCTCGCTCTTTCTTTCGTGACCGCACTATCCTTGAGCCACTCGCTCGGCCAGTTGCTGTCTCCCTTGCTGACCCCTCTGGGGGTCCGGTCATTGCGACCTCCTCCACTGTTCTTCCTTGTCCTGCGGTCCCGTCCGGCACGCTTTCCGGTCTCTACCTCCCCTCGTTCTCTACGAACTTGGTGGCGGGTTGTGCGCTCCAGGACTCGGGTGTTCACCAGTTCACCCCTGCCTACGAGCGCGTGACACACTGCACGTGTGCTCGGACGGGTCGCCACCTGGCTACTTTCACTCGAGAGCCGGGGTCGGACCTGTACACACTGACCACTGAGTCCCCTCAGGTAGCTGCGTCTGCGTCTACGTCTGCGTCTGCGTCAGGTCAGCTGTCCGCCCCCTGCTCGTGTCGCTCTCTGGCGCATGAGACTGTCCTTTGGCACCACCGCCTTGGTCACCCGTCTGTGCAGCGCCTTCGGGCCATGCACAAACGGGACCTTGTTGCTGGTCTTCCCAGGGTGCTCCCTCCCCTTCCCGACTCGCCTGCTCCTCCCTGTATTCCCTGTGTCGAGGGGCGGCAGCGCGCCGCTCCTCACTCCTCCTCCTTTCCCCCGACGACTGCTCCCTTGCAGACGCTCCACTTGGACGTGTGGGGCCCAGCCCGCGTCCGTGGACAGGGTCAGGAGCGGTACTTCCTGCTCGTTGTTGACGACTTCTCGCGCTACACCACGGTCTTCCCCTTGCGAGCCAAGGGTGACGTACCTGATGTCTTGATCCCTTGGATCCGCAGATCTCGTCTCCAGCTCACCAGGCGTTTCCGCTCCGACTTTCCTGTCCTGCGTCTGCACTCTGACAGAGGTGGGGAGTTTTCCTCTGGCCTCCTGGAGGCCTTCTGTCAGCAGGAGGGCATTGAGCAGTCGTTCACGCTTCCGGCCTCTCCACAGCAGAATGGAGTTGCTGAGCGCCGCATTGGTCTAGTCATGGAGGTCGCTCGTACCTCCTTGAGTCATGCGGCTGCCCCCCATTTTCTGTGGCCGTTTGCGGTCCGATACGCTGCGCATCAGCTCAACCTCTGGCCCCGTGTCTCCTTGCCCGAGACTTCTCCGACACTGCGTTGGACGGGAGAGGCTGGCGATGCGTCGCGTTTTCGGGTCTGGGGATCCCGAGCTTTTGTCCGCGACACGTCCGCGGACAAGCTCTCCCGTCGCGCTGTCCCCTGCGTCTTCCTTGGCTTTGTCCCGGACGCCCCTGGTTGGCAGTTCTACCACCCCACCTCGCGTCGTGTCCTGGCCTCTCAGGACGTCACTTTTGACGAGTCCGTCCCCTACTACCGCCTCTTCCCCTACCGCACTGCCCCGCTCCCCCCCCCGCCTCTCTTCCTCGCTCCAGGTGCTGAGGTACCAGACCCCCTCCCCCCTCAGGGTGCCGCTCCCTCAGGTGTGTCCCAGGTAGACCCGGGTGAGCCTGTCGAGGTAGCTGTTGACTCTCGTCCTACGTCTGGGGGTGTTGAGCCTGGGGGTGCTGAGTCTGGGGGTGCGGAGCCTGGGGGTGTTGAGCCTGGAGGTGCGGAGCCTGGCGGTGCGGAGCCTGGGGGTGCTGAGCCTGGGGGTGCGGAGTCTGGGGGTGCTGAGTCTGGGGGTGCTGAGACTGAGCGTGCTACACCTGGAGGAGCCCTCTCCTCCCAGCAGCTGCAGGAGAGGTACCTCGAGTACTGCCGCCTCCGGAGAGGTGCTGCTGGAGCTCGTCCCGGTACTTCCCCTCCTACCCAGGAGCTCCCCCCCATTCAGCAGATCCGAGAGTGGTACACACGCCGCTGCAGTCTTCGGAGTGGTCCTCCGGGTGCTGAGGACCCGAGCGGTGGCGCTGCTGCTTGTGCTGAGGACCCGGGCGCTGGAGCTGCTGCTGGTGCTGAGGACCCGGGCGGTGGAGCTGCTGCTGGTGCTGAGGACTCGGGTGTTGGAGCTACTGCTGGAGCTGGGGACCCGAGCGGTGGAGCTGCTGCTGGAGCTGAGGACCCGGCTGGTGGAGTTCCTGCTGGTGCTGCGGACCCGAGCGGTGGCGCTGCTGCTGGTGCTGCGGACCCGGGCGTTGGAGCTACTGCTGGAGCTGAGGACCCGAGCGGTGGTGCTGCTGCTGGTGCTGAGGACCCGGCCGGTGGAGCTGCTGCTGGTGTTGAGGACCCGGACGTTGGAGCTGCTGCTGGTGCTGAGGACCCTGCCGCTGGTGTCTCTGCTGGTTCTGGAGACGCTATAGTGGGTTAGCCTATAGGGGGGTCACAACTCTAGGGTTTCATATTTGTACTCTCATTCCTTTCTAGTTCACCATTCCAGTCCGTTATTACTGACATCACCTCCACGAGCTGCAGCAGAGGAGCCACTAGAAGTTGCACGAGGCGCTCCACCAACACCTGCACTCCCGCCACTGCCACTCGCCACGCCACCTCCGCTGCCTCCGCTGCTGGCTGCACCCTGGCCGCCCCTCCTGCCGCTCCTAACTCAAGACCGTGCAGAAGTCGTGACAGCAGCCGCGGTCTCGTCAGTAGCGGTATCGGCGAGGGAGGCAGTGAAAGGTGGGCAACTGGGACAGTGCACCCGTGGAACAGTGGAGGGGGCACAGCGCCAGAGGCGGAGGCTACCGAGCGGAGGTTGCTCTCGACGTCCTTGAGTGCAGACTCAAGGATCTCGATAGTGAGTTCGCTAGGGTGCCTTAGTGCAAGCAGTGCAAGCTAGAATCCAGCGAACGCAGGTGAGCGATCAAGTCAGCAGAGCGCTCAAACGAGGCGAGGTCAGGAAACAGGAACGGGAGGAACACGCGGCAAAGAGTTACAGTGGTGGGAGTGGAGTAGCGGGCCATGATCGCAGTTAGGAACTCGCTAGCAATGCGAACCTGGGTGAAGTGGGTCTCCTCAGACTCAGGGAGGAGGCTGCTGAGGGCGATGCAGGTCGCGGCATCGCTCGACTTCCAGGCTGTCAAGGCAGCGCGCTTACGTGCAAAACGCTCTCTGTCCGCAGTGGTGGGGTCAGCGCCTATGTGTTCAGGAGCAGAGGGCGCAAGAAGGTCACCGGAGGCATGCGCCCAGAGGGACTCGTCAGCCTTACACTGACTCTCTAGGAGGCGCTGCGCATGGAGGAGCCAGACAGAGAACTCCAGCAGCCTACCCTCGGTATCAAAGCGCAGAACCCTAGGCGCCGCCATAGCTGATGCGGAGGGGAGGGAGCTCCTGCTGCCAGGCGCCTAGAAGGCCTGAGCAGGGCGTGACACGACAGGATGGGTAGGGCGCGGCGCGATGGGTTGGGAGGCGAGACGGGGGCGACGCGACGCGATGGGACGGGACGGGCGCGACGCGACGGGACGGGCAGGGCACGACGCGACAAGCAGGGAGGCGCGACACGCGCGAGGGGACGGGACAGGAAGAGCACTTATATGAAGCTCAAATACGTTTGGAGTCCCTCTCGAAGGCGGAGAAGGGTACCATCATTTGTGATCTACACTGGTATGATTCGGTAGCACACATCACCCGTGTAAGTGCAAGGGTCATATATGTTGGTGCAACCCTACGGTTTGCACTCGGCTTGTTGTTCGTATACGTGCATGCTTATGTGCATGGAATGGTATGAAGGCATGAAATAATGTATATATTTCATGCTTATAATAGTGTGTGAATGATGAGTCATGATGTCGAATGTGTGTGTCAAGTCAATAGCGAGTTATCGCTAGTCGCGTGTTAAGCGGTTTCTATTTCGTCGTTTGTGTGTCTCGCGCGGTTTCTATTTTGTCCTGTGTCGAACGTTCGGCGTGTCGCAGGTGTGTGCAACAGACCCATCAAGAACTCAAGGATGAGTTTGTGATGAAGAACCCGAGCCTTGGTTCTCGTCAAGACTCGAACGATTTCAAAGCTCGCGAAAAAGATACACTTCAAGATAGTGATTATAGTTACATTACTTTGTGTAGTGTAACATTTCACTTGGTGTAGGCCCTTGTGGAGGGTAGTTTCGAGACCCTTCTTGGTTGGGGACAGTGTGGCACTGTTCCACATCACTGTACCTCGGCTCTTGGGGTTTGTAGGAGCTGGGAGTCATTCCCAACTCGTAACTCTTCCGAACACTTCCAATTGTGTGTTCTAAGACAATGTTGCTGACAATGTTCATTCAAACTGACGCTGTATCGTCAACGAGCTGATTGTGCGATCTAAGTTGCTGATTGTAGGCGACGTTAAGTCGCTCCAGATCCAACTTGAATCAGGTCATTTGGAGCTGTGACCAGATCGCTATGAACGTTTGAAGCTGCTGTGCAGAAATCCGACGGTGCACTCTATCTTTCGTTTTAGGCACATTGAAGCCTATTGTGACTATAACAATATACGGGTGCTTAGTTGCGATGCTTTGCACGAACAACATGTGATTGTATCGATTTGATACACGTAAAGCAGAAGCAGTCACGAGAACCTCCATTATGATTTCAGGTCACGAGAACTCTGATTTAGCCGTCTCCTCGATAATCTCCCTTCGGCACCACCGATGAATTCACAGAGAGTGTTTGGCTTGCTTGTTTGTTCACTGCCAAATCACAACCCTAGACAACTCCTCGGGTAGTGCTACGCCGCGTGTGTTTCCCGTGCTCGCTTCTCCACTAGGCATTGGCCAAGCCTGGATCAGGTTTCTGCCCAAAATTCCTTTCCCTCGTAGAAAATGAAGGTCTGGGGGTGTACACTGCGTTCGCCTCGGCACGAGCTGCCGGATCTCTTGCAAGGAGGCTCGGAATCCTTCCAAGGCAGAACACTCGAGCTCAAAGACGGCAGCGGAACCCTTTTTTTTTTTACGAAACTCTTGCCCGAAACCCTCGCGGGAGTCCACTAGCCAACCAAATCATTTCAAAGAATGGCCTACTTAAATATTTTGATTTGGGCAGCATCCCAGCACAGAGCTCAGCAATCCTCGGAGCCTCCTAGTTTGGCAGCACTTCCAGGAGGCTCTCGTTCCTCCCATTTCATTCCCCTCGGCTGCTCCTCCCCACAACCTTCCCTCTCTGCTCTCCCTCTCCCTCGTCTTCGAATTCTCGATACAACAGCCAAGTCGTTTTCAGAGCATTATTTTAAGTTTTCGAGCAACCTCGTCATTCTTACCAGAATTCCTTACCGTTAAACTCCGCTTTCAAGGCCAGTAGATTCTAGCTTACCGTTCTCATTTTCAAAGCAGGAATGGCTGATTATTCTTCTGATTATCCAACTTTTTATGAAGCCCGAGCCTTCTTTAAGAAGAGGGAAGCACTCATGCAGCCGCCGCTTCTTGTTCCAGCCTCCGCATCTCCGTATCTAGCTGCAGCGATAGAGGAGGAGCA